CAGTCAGGGGCCTTGCCTTCTGCCATCCCAACCTGCGAGGTTGCGCTGAAAGCCCTTTCAGCTCTGGTTGCCCTGTTGACCTGCATTTACCCTTGAAAAGGGTTGTGTATTATTTCAACGGAACTGGCCTTCCTGTAACTTAGCTTCATTGCTCTGTTCTGGGATTGTCGAGAATTAGTATGGCTTTCTTGTGTGTGACACTCCTTTAAAACCTAGTGTGGTATTTCCTCTGTCTCTTCTCAAGAGGTAAACACACTGCACTTAATAGGATTTAAGATGCCAGGTTCCCGACCATCCTGTCTGTTCTTCTCAAACCCATTCTGGTTTGCCTGACTCATTCTTAAATTGTGATGCCCAATACTGAACACTGAATTTGGAGCAGGCCTAGAAAATTAGAACTGAATGAAAATATTTGGTCCCCTAACTTGAAATCGTATTTGTCTTTTTTGCAGCCATGGCAGACTGCTTCAGCATGTGGTCAACCACAATGTCAAGACATTTTCCACTCCTACGGTATTAGACATGTATCCCTGTGGCAACATACATTCCTTCCCATACCTGTGGGTCTCAAATCAGAATAAGTGACTACGTTCTTCTTAGAATTAGCACTATTTCTCATATACTGGATGTAAATCAGAACCTCTTGTAGTATTAGTTACAAGGTAAAAACATATGCATGTCACACTAATTTTTATAGCTGCAAAAGTGTTTTGGTGAAAGACTGGACCTGGTTTGACAATGGATGTTACTCATTCTGGGTCATAAAAATAGGGTGTTATGGAAATGTCGCAATAAATTTCAGCCCATTTTGCTAATGTGCTGCAATTATTTTGAATTTCTTCTGTCATTGACAGCATGACATGCAATTGTGAAAAGCATTAGTTACAATCTTATACAATTGTTTGTCAACTGCAAACTGGATAAGCAATCCTGCAGCACCCCTTTCAACAGATTCATGAAGAAATGCTCATGAGTGTCTCTTGATGAAGCTTTTCATTCCAGTGTGGATTCACCTAATCCAGCCCACTAGCTTGAGAATATTATGGGTTTCTTTGTCAAATGTTCTCCTGACAGTGAGACTTACTATGTTCAGAGAATTTCTATCACCTACAAGACATAAACCACCCATAAAATAGGATACTGTTAATCTGCCAGGACCTCTTGACATTTCCATACTTTGTCACTGCATTTCTTCCAAATTGCTTAAAGATGTATAACTTTATGATTTGCTTCAGACTCTTCCCACATATTTATCTCAAACTGACTTTTTCAGATCATCCTTTTCCTTCCTTTTTTGGAGATAGTTGTAGTATTTTCTGTTCTCCAAACAACTGACACTTTACTCATTTCAAATACCAACATTTTGCGGATATGATGATGAACAAATGGAAATATATAGGAGTGGTGTGCCTGAAGGGGAGGCCAATGGCGAAAGAAGCATTGTCCTTTTGTGATTTGATGTCACACAAATGCAATAAAGGGACGGAATTGGCAGAATGATGGCAAAGCATCAGTTTCTGTGGCTACTTGTGACATTATGTTTGGAGGGGAGGTCGGGAGGATAGGAGAGAGATAGAGAAATGTAGGGCATCTGAAGAGATTTATAAAATTTGTTTTCCTAGGTTATTCCTCCAACTGAACTGCATTTTCATTCCCCAATATATGTATGCACCCCAGTACACACATATCCATTCAAAACGTAGACTTCAGAACCAGTTGTTGTTGTTTTTTTACAAGCATGATTTGTTTATGGATTTGTTAGGAAAATTGTTTCTATTAAAGCAATTTTTAAAGAGTACAATAATTTTTGTGTGCTATTATTCAGATTCTTAGTTCAGTGAATCCTTCTAATTTTGTGATTATCAATAATAAATTCATTGAGAGGGAATTCAGACACACACATTATATATAAAATAACTATCAGCTCTGACTATAGCACCAAACTAAAATGTTCTGCAGAAAAGCTTAATATATCTAAAAGTTTGCTTTTGGTGATAAGTTTCCTTACTTTTTCAGCCAGCTCCTGAGCAGTAATATTTGGGTCATACGGGATGGGTTCTCCAATATAGGTGCGGAGTTTGACTGGGAACCCACCATATATTGGAAGGGCAAGCAATTGAAAATGTTCATATAGCCATTTTGAGACCCCTGTTGAGGAAATGAAACAAAATAGAAAGTAAAATTAATTCACAAGGATGTGGAAATCTCTAATTTTTTTTAAAGTTATATTGCATCTTAAAACTGGAGAAATGAATTATGATGTAAACTTCTACAGTCCACAGTCCAGAGTCATGGAATGTGATCCTGAGATTGGAATATTTATCTATGATACTGAGAGGGAAAGAAAACACAGTGAAATAAGATTGAAATTAAACCTTAAAGACCTGAAACAACAGAAACATTGTTCCAGAGTATGTTGATTAATATACATGGAGTGATTAGAGTGCTGTTTTTCTGTGAAATCCAGAGAAAAGGTCCAAGATTGAGGGCAATCTTGGAAAGTATAAAAAGAAATGGATAATGGGAATGATCCCTCTCTACAGGTAGTCCTCAACTTATGACCATTTGTTTAGCGATCATTCAAAGTTATGACAGAGGTGAAAAATGTGATTTAAGACCAGTGTTCACACTTATGACCTTCTCAATGTCCTGATGGTCACATGATCAAAATTCAGGCACTTGGCAACCAGCATATATTTACAATGGTTGCAGCATCCCAGGGCCAGTAATTGCCATTTGTAACTTTCCAATTCAGCTTTCGACAAGCAAAATTAATGGGGAACTGCATGATTTCCTTAACGCGTATCTCAATAAAGTCATAAAATCAGATGCAGTCATGTGATGCCTCACTTAATGATCGCACTTCTTAACGACAAATTTTCCGGACCCTATTGTGGCGTTGATGACTACCTGTATATAGTTGTGATAGATAAGGAATGGACTCTGAGCAACTACTTATGACGCTAGTGGGCAACTAAGTGAAAGGACACATGTTCTTTGATGGATGAATCAATGATGCCAGGGTGGGCAAGGAAAACTCCATGAAAAATTATGACTGCATGTATTTCAGAGTATTTCATCCTCTTCTTCTCTTTCCTTCTACCTTTCCCAGCATTACAGCCTTGTCCAGAGAGCTAGATCTTCACATGAGGTGTCCAAAGTAGGATAATCTGAGCCTGGTCATTTGTGCCTTAAGTGAGAACTCTGGATTCATTTGTTTGATGATTAATTAGTTTGTTTTGTTGGTGGTCCACTGCATTCTCAGGAGTTTCCTTCAATAATCAAGTGCAAAAGTGCCAATACTCTTTCTATCCTGCTTCTTCAAAGTCCAAAAGCTAGAAACTGGCTGCTTCCCCCCCCCTAAATATTGCCAGTATCGCTGTCTAGGTAACTGATATGCAGCTACCCAGCAAACTTTCCCTCCTGCTTGTTAAAGACAGGAACAACATTTGCCCTCCTCCAGTCTTCTGCTGCTACACTTGTCCTCTATGATTTCTCAAAGTTCCCAGAAAGGGACTCTAAGATATAATCTGCAAGCTCTTTGCATTTGTTCTCCTGAGGTCCACTGGAAGCAAAGTAGAAATTGAGCTCTGCCCAGCTCCTGCCACCTGCTGTTCTCCAAGAAGCAGGCCCATCCATTCCTTCCTGGTATAGAATGGGTTTTAAGCAGAATCAGCAGGGCCAGGGTGGAGGGAAAAGAAGTGTGTCTTTCTCCTCCAGTCAACTTTCTGGCTGCCCTTTAGGGATGTGGAAAATGCTGTGGTAATATGGAATAAAAATTAATTCCCAGCCACTTAGACCCTAAGGGAGGGGACAATCTTTCCTTTCTCTTCAGACCATGAAATCATTTGCCTCATCTGCACAACTGATTTCAACATCCTGATGCAACTTTGACCAACGTCATCTCTCCTCAGCCACAGAGGTTTCTGAAGGCTATTAAAGGATTTGAGAAAATAATGGTTCTGATAGTTTGTTTTAGATTTTATTAATATAATCAAAATCAATTATATATATATATATATATATATATA